AGCGCTATGAGCGGCCGGTGTCTTTCCTCCCACACCGCTCGGCCGCCTATCACAGTGCAAGTGTTACTGGCAGAATTAACAGATACAAAGGTATAAGGCCCGGCTCAAACCTGGGCGATCCGTGACCGCGCTGATCGCGCTTGCGGGGCATTAATTTTTAATGGCACCCCAAACGCGGCCGGAAAATTTTGCGGTTTTCCACCGCAATTCTGGGTGTGCAATCTTGCACAATCTTGGCAGAAAAAAACATGCTGTGCGCATTGCGGAAAAAGGTACATGCACCTTTTTCCAGTGATTGCCACAAGGATATAACCCTATTAAAACCAACGCGAGTCCCGGGATCACCCAAGTGCGAACCTGGTCTAAAGGAAAAAAGCCTGAAAAAAGAGAACTAATGCAGCCACAATATGTAAGGACTGCATTATATTGTTATTTATTTATTTTTTACATGAGTTTAAATACATTTTAAATCATTTTTAATTACACGGCACACTTTTAAAGAAGAATTGACATTAAGCTTTCTTGCCTTTGAAACATGTATTAACATGACACAAAGTGTGGTAGCAAAAGAAAAACTTTTCCATAGACATACCCCACCCTTAGGTCTTCTAAACAAATTGCAAAACAATAAACCTAAAGTACATGTTGCACTATAGATATTTTATGTGAGTGAGACAAAAAGCTTTTCATCCAAACTAGAATTCTGATGATAAAAGCATGGTGGGAGAGAGATTAGCAGAAATGTTTTGCAGCTCTGAATTACCAAGTTCAAATGACTAGAACTACAAGCAATTTGTATACTTTCCTTGTATATATATACGCACATATTCCAATAAAAGGGCTAAAAGGTTCACTGTCTTCTACCTAAAATGGCCCTGAATGTAAATTGGTGCTTGTATACTGTCATACCCCTTTAAAAATTCCCCCCCTGCAAGTGTAAAAAAAGCAGCAGGAATACTCACCTGTTGTCCACTGCATTACACTCCAAAATACAAATTTCAAGTGTATACTTTCAAACTTCAAAGTGCAACTCAAACATAGATATTAAAATGAATATATTGTATTACAAGGGTAAAACAAATTAATAAATACAATATGTTTAAAAAGTACAGAGCAATCTCAATTCATACACATATTTCAGGCTACCCCCGAAAACTACTCACATCGCCCCTTATAGTGCTCGTATCTTATGTCATTGAATAGCTGTAAAAGCTCATTTATATTGACCATGCAAAGTACACTGCAGTATACGTTTTCACCACAAGATGTCCTCAATCTTCCTGGTTCAAGGACACCCAGTGGGGGAGCTTCTGGAGGGGGTATTGACAGGGGGGCGGCTTGAGGCTGAGCTTTAACCTAACCCCAAGGCTGCCTGTTAAACCTTACATTTCCCTCTTCTGAATTCTAAAATTTAATTTAACTCCTAAAAGAACTCGAATACCCTAAAATCGGCCCCAACACTTAACCATTTAACTGATCCTTAGCATAACATCACAAACATTAACACTTAACCTGAACTGTAAAACGTAACCTAACACACAGCCCCCTATAACCCAAACTTATCCCGCTATCTTCTGACTCTAACCTTAACCTATGCTCCAAGTTTAACACCTAATTACATCTCTTCAGGGAAGCCTATCCCACTTCAAACTAACCACTGAACTATCTCTTTCTCAAACAATTCATCCCCACACAGCCACCTCCTCATGTATCACTTGCCAATCCCTCTTAGATTGTAAGTCCTCACGGGCAGGGCCCTCCTTCATTGTATCTTGAATTGTATTGTAATTATAATTTCTTCCCTATGCTGTAAAGCACTGCGTACGTAAACTGTTGGCGCTATATAAATCCTTTATAATAATATAATATAATAATTAACCCATCAAATCTATATGTACTTTGTTTTCCTCAAAGCTAATGGGTCATCCTGCACCAGGAACTGTGCCATACGAGTCTTGTGCCAAAAAGACGTGATGCCCAGGTGCCAACACTGGCAACAACCAATCCGACTAGGCTAAGGGCATTGTTCTTATCCATTATTGTGTTATTTCTATGGCATCTAATGCATTCTATTTCTCACCAGTCAGAAAATCTACAGTCACAGCAGCCCACATAGCAGTAGCATGGTCAGACAGACCAGAAGGGCTGATTACATGGCCAGACAGGCCAGAAAGGCTGATTACATGGCCAGGCAGGCCTAAAGGACTGATTGCATGGCCAGACAGACCAGAAGGACTAGCTATATAGCCAGACAGGCCAGAAGGACTAGTTATATGGCCAGACAAGCCAGAAGGACTGGTTACATGGCCAGACAGGCCAGATGGGCTGCTTGCATGGCTGGTCAGGCCAGATGGGCTGAATTCATGGCCAGACAGGCCTGAAGTTCTGATTACATGGCCAGACAGGCCTGAAGTTCTGATTACATGACCAGACAGGCCTGAAGGGCTGATTACATGACCAGACAGGCCTGAAGGGCTGATTGCATGGCTCGGCAGCCCAGAAAGGATATCTACATGGCCAGACAGGCCGGAAGGGCTGACTGCATGCCCTGACTGGCCGGAAGGGCTGACTGCATGCCCTGACTGGCCAGAAGGGCTGATTACATGGCCAGACAGGCCTGAAGGGCTGATTACATGGCCAGACAGGCCTGAAGGGCTGATTACATGGCCAGACAGGCCTGAAGGGCTGATTACATGGCCAGACAGGCCTGAAGGGCTGATTGCATAGCCAGACAGGCCTGCAGGGCTGACTGCATGGGCGGACAGGCCGAAATGCCTGATTTCACGGTGTCCCTGCCACAAATACCGTGTCTTTCATTTTGTTCCATCCTGAGTCTGTTTTTGTATGAGCATTCTTTCATACTTACACATGTAGTCACCATGTTGCCATCACACAGCCGTGTGGTAACTATAACAATGAAAATATCTATGCTCATCCTTGTATAGTATGGGCTGTAACAATGGCCTCCTCTCTGCTGCATGCTACATGCTAGGTGTGCTACAGAAGTATTCCTCCAAATCTTCTTCTACTAGGTAAGATAAACATAAAGTTAATTACCCATGTACACCATTTTTAGAGCTCAGGAAGCTCAGCTGCCCAAAAGTAATTTTTGTTTCTTTTCCTAACAGTTTACACTCTCCTCTGATTATTGGCTAGCACAGTCGCTCTCTGTACTTCTGTATTATTATAATAGATGTTATAGAATGTTCTCACTCATCCCGTTCAGCAGAGCAGAACAGAATGTTCTTAAACATAATAAAAATGGTCCTCCTGTGGTAACTATTGTAATCACTCAGTTCTTGAAAGCGGCATAAAGCTGTATTTTCAGGCAACTGTGTGACAACCCTGAACATGGCTTTGTATCGCCAGCATAATTCCACCATTACAAAGTGGTATTTTGAGAGGGAGATCATTATCAGTAGTTGCAGCGCCGTTCAACTCATATGGTAGAAAGTGTAGTTTTGAGGACTCATTTAATAACGTGCAACGTGCAACATTAGCAAAATGATGCTGTATCCCAGTCTAACATCCTCTGACAACAAAAAACAGGAACTAATAGAGCAGAACCTAAAGTCGAACTCCAGCCAATTGTTTTCCTCAGTTCTAGATGGAGTAGGGAAGGGTTAGAACATCTTTCAGGTCCTTGTTGAGGAATGACAATTCCTGTCCCGGTGACACAACTGGATGAATGTTTTTATCAATTCCTCATTCTACTAATACATTTTGTTTTATTTGTCAGTGTCTCTGCTTGGAGCGATACTCACCACTTCCTCTCCCGGTGACACAACAGGAAGTGGAGGGAAAGCTGTCCTGCAGAGACACAGACATCAATAAAAGCCTTGCAGAGGTTCTATCTGTTCTCTTCTCTGTCCAAAATTCTACTTTAACTATACAGTACCATAAAATAGAATTAGCGCTGAACTCCGGGCACGAAAACTTTTGCCTAAATATATTCCTCAGTAGCCACAAAGTATATAAGTCCACTTTGTGTACATAATATGCCAATGCAAACCAGATATTAGCTTGTAAAGTAGCAGTGACATCTCGGTGCTGCACATAGCATATGCATAAGCAGAGCAATGTGAGGAACCTAGGAGGCCACACCCACTACAAGCTGCCTGCAGAAAACTATAGGAGGAGGCGGAGACAAGACCAGTCACTGTGCACGAGGAGAGAGAGCAGCTGTGACTGGTCTTTGTTACAGGAAGCTCCTGCACAGCAGGGACAGCCTGTTACACAGGCAGGTGTAACAGGTTACACAGCAGGGAAAGCCTCCCCACTGGTTTAGCTGTAATGGACGGTTAATTACAGGCGGTGCTGCATCCGGCTTTTGACAGGTAGTTAGGATACACAGCAGCAGGCTTCCCCACTGCTTGTGTAATGTGTAACCTAAAATAAGAATACACACAGCTCTTTTATTTAGATAATATTTAACCTATTTATTTCAACGTAGTACAAAATAAAGTAACATGGAAATGTGTGAATATCAACCACTTATTTATTGTAACTCCATCAGATAACAATATTAATCAAAAAAGACAACTATTCTTTCCCATGTGTATAAGACAAGTTTAAAATATTTAACCAATTCGTATACATGTATTTTCATACACTACATGTGAAAAGCTTTACATTTGTAAATAATAATCCTGATGCAGGATGCAACAATATTTGATGGGTGTGGTTATAGTGATGTAACCATAGGTATAGAAGCCTAGGGGGCACATGTGCAACAGGCAGACATGGGGGTGCAGATGCACTGTCACAATATGACTCTTCTGGACCTGTTCAGTAATAATAGTGCAGTATAGTAATAGCAATATCCCTGTGTCCCTGTATGACTACAATACAGAGGCCTTTATTGAGCAGACAGTCTTATATAATAAGGGCAATACTGATTTTCAGTGACTCATAACAAGCACTCTGTTTGCTGTAGTAGGATCGGACAAATGTGGACTATTCTAGGTTCTATTTGTTATTATCTGCATTATGAAATTGGTTGGAATCCGGTCAGTTGACAAAGATTACTGTAACCTGCATTTCACTCTTTGTCTGATTAAATAAGCCTCATTGCTTGTTAGGAAGAAAGAGAAATGTCTATTGGAGTCTGGAGAATGAGAGATATGACTGTTGTACTATCTGCAGTGGTCCTGCTCCATTGATAATTGTGTTACATCCCCTGGGCCCGATCAACATGTGCATCACACAGATAGTAAGATGATAAATAAGACCTGCCTTGGGCACCTGCCCTGGGTGGCAGAACATACATTAAAATCAGCAGGAGTTATCGATGTCTCTTTCGGATACTGATGAGTTCCTGGTTCACAATGCTGAAGTTTGGACGTTTCCTGGGTTCATATTCCCAGCAGCGCAGCATCAGTTGATAAATATCCTCGGGACAATTGTCTGGAGCTGGCAGACGGCTCCCTGCAATCGTAAGAACATCTCTTATCTATCTTATTTATATAAAAGACATACCCATAAACTCGAAGCTTTGGTACGATCTATTAGAAGTGTCAGTGTGTCACAGTGACAGAATCAGAGTCATAGTTGTCCCATTCTGTTCAACACAGATGTGTTTTCATTCCTGCCACAATATTAAAAAGACTGTTCCTGAATAATTTAGAAGGTTCTGAATTGCTCGGTTCACTTGACTTAAATATTAAACAATTTCATAGAAGCTGTAACTTAAAGGGTTTCTAAACCCTCCGTTTTTTGTTTTTTTTTGCATATATCTACTGCTAGCAAGCAGTAGATACTGTACATGCAAAAAGCGTTTTTTTTTTTTTTTAAACCCTGCTTTAACAGCAGTTTAAACTTACCCCGTCTTTGCCGCGCGCTCCCGTCCGAGAATCCGAAACTGCTCGGGCGGCTGCAAAGCATCTTGGGGCAGTTCGGATTCTCGGCCGGGAGGCGAGCAGAGACGCAAGGTAAGTCTATGGACGCGTGCACCCGCATGCCGACACCGCGTGATGGGAAGTGCCTGCAAGGACAGAGGAGTCAGCACTGGATCGGAGAGCCGCCGCACCGCTGGAGGGACAGATGAAAACATCAGGAAAGAAGAAGATCGGATTAAGAGACATCATTTAAGGTAAGTGCTGACATTAACATTGGGGGGAGGGGGAAAATGTTTTGCCTTTAATGTCACTTTAAGAGAGAGCAAATATTTACATTATACCAAAATGCCTATTTATCTGCTTCCTGCCACATATCAGAAATAATTAGTGTCAGAATTTTGTTATTGTGTATATTGTACTGTGTATTGTGGCTTTTCAACCTATTTCCTTCCTACTCTACCCCCAGTGCCTCTCTTTAATTCCTTCTTTTTTGCTTTATCCCTTTGTGATTAGAAAAAAGTTATATATTAAACCTTATTTTCTGATATGTCCACTACTTTGTCCAGTGATACTGCTGAAAATAATTGTTTAAAATGGGATTTTGAACAACAATGATGGTGTGCAAAGATCGATAATCTATAACAGCCAAAAAGCATCATCAGAGCAATGGACAATTATTGCTAATTTATTCCCATGGGGTCTGTACTTTCCACATTGTTCCTTGATAGGTGGATTAAACCTAGCAGTTGCCTTTTTAGGTTGTACATGCTGTTGTTGAAGGTGGGTTCCTGATAATACATAATTTATGACATAAGTTATGGACAACTTATGGTTTGTGCTTGGGAAATTGCTGTATTATCCAATCCAATCTTGCTGTACAGGTTTGTGCATTGGTTTTTAACCTGTGAAAGAAGTCTGCTTTCCAATGACAACTTGAGTTCTCCCCTTTACACAGGAATAAACTTACCCTGTTCTATAGTTTCTCTGGTTTGCTGGTTATTCATACTTGTGTATGGAACGGACCCAAGAGAGAACGCTTCCCAGAGCAGAATGCCAAAACTCCACACATCACTTTCTGAACTGTACCGGCCTGAGGGAGAAGATATACAGCACCTGTCAGATCACTAAAAGCTTCCACATTGTACAACAAAGTCTTTTTTTTTTCCACATTTTTTTTAACTAATATAAACATCTTCTCCATAGATACATTTAGGCATTTCATTCTCCATATGAACGTGTTTTTTTAAAATGTATATATTAAAGCTGAATTTAGCATTTTTTTCAGTTACATAGTCATTAAAATATCCTTAGACAACTGACCAACATCTGCTTAGGACCCAATGGTGCCTGAAAATGGGGTGTCGGGTTCATTCCTCCCTTCCCAGAGCCCCCCGCCGCCACCTCCCATCCCTACCCTTGACTTCTCCCTACCTCCTCCCAAGCCCCATACTCTGCTATCCTCACACCCCCTGAACCCCTCCATCAAATTCTATCTACCTCCACCTTTCTATTTCCCACAACCCTTCTCACACACACCTAACTCAAGCTCCGCACTAATAGACACTCCCCTTCTATGTTTCCCATACTATAGCCCCCCTTCCTTATCTCCTCCTTCACCTCTGAACAGTGCTCAGATCTTCTCTAACAGACTCTTGCTGCACATCGTTTACATCATCCCTCATCCGTAGACAAACTGCTTCTAAAGGCCCTGGAGATGGGAATCAGCACGGAACTGGCAATCTTAGCTCGCTTACCACCCCATAATAGAAATCTCCCACCTCCCTCTTGCAGATGCTAACAGAAGAGGCTGGACAAGTCACCCCTTTTGCCCTTTTAGGAAGCAACAGAATTGCTGGATGTTCTAATGGTGCTGCCTATTGCTTTATACCGTCTGGAAATATGCACAGTATATAGCAAACTTGTAGTCCCATCCCTGTTTAGAACAGTGCCTCTGGAGCAGTGATGTGATCATAGACATTGAAACTCTGTGCATCTCCCTGAAATCAAGACCGATCACACACTAAGCTTCTTTTTGTCTGCATAGTACATGAAGAGAAGTAACACAATGAAACCACCACAGTAAATTATATAATGCTGACAATGGGCTCTGAGGCATTTCTTCTTCCAGAATTACACAACATACAACAAAAAATATTAATCATACAGAGCTGAAACCCCTTAAAATATACAGGAACTTTCTTCAGGAAGAATGAAATTGAGAATATAAAGAAAACAGCAGAGCTGATGTAATATCATGATGTATTATCCTTCAAATATCTACTCAAAATGTTATTTTTAGCTTTGTATAGTGGGGGGAAGGGTTTGAACATCTAAAACATCATTTATTGATGTCTGTGTTTAGCTCACTTCCTGTCCCCAAAATGTTTAAGGTAAATTTCTGCTTTAAAGCAGCTTAAAAGCTAATCCGTCAATAAAAGAATAATAAATAGTAAATAAATAAGGGAGAGTTAAAAAGCAAAGGCGATTTTTAAATTACACGGTAACCAGAACAGCGTGAAGCTTTTGCAATGCAGCATATTTATATAGCCTGTTGGATTGTTGGGCCATGCGCAGTACACCGCTTGGACTTTAGTCGAGTGGTAGTCATGTGGACAGAAACATGGATGCTCTGTTGCATGATTGCATTATCAAAGAGCAAATTGCCGTAGTGTATTGTCTTTGGGCAGAGAGAGTGAAACCAGTGGAAATACACCGTTGGGTGTTGGCTCAGTATGGCCATAGCACCATAAATCAATGAAAGGTTTATGAGTGCGTAGAAAGGTTAAAAGCAGGAAGAACAGGTTTAACCGATGAAGCTCGTTCTGTTTTTGAGACAATATTAAGAAGATTGGAGTATTCTGGAGAGAATTGTCATTGGCAACGAGACATGGGTGCACCACTACAACCCAGAGAGAAAAAGACAAACTCTGCGGTCGCAGGTTCTCCACAGATGATTAAATAAAGGAAGAGGGCACACCTGGCTTCAGCAGCAGCCAAAAAGCTTCTTCTCTGCAGGAATACAGAAGCTAGTTTAGCGGTACAACCAGTGCATCATCTTGCATGAGGGCTATGTGGTAAAGTAATATGTTCAAGTGCTCACAGTTACTTCTATTAAAGCCTTTACTTTTTTATTCTACTTTGACCACTCTTCCAGAAGCGCATTTGTGAGGACAGGTACTGATGTTGGATGAGAAGGCCTGACTTGCAGTCTCCGCTCTAATTCCTCCCAAAGGTGTTCTATCGGTTTGAGGTCAAAACTCTGTGCAGGCCAGTCAAGTTCCTCCACCCCGAATTCGCTCATCCATGTCTTTATGAACCTTGCTTTGTGCACTGGTGCGCCATAATGCTGGAACAGGAAGGGGCCATTTCCAAACTGCTCCCACAAAGTTGGGAGCATGAAATCGTCCAACATGTCTTGGTATGCTGATGCCTTAAGAGTTCCCTTCACTGGAACTAAGGGGCCAAGCCCAACCCCTGAAAAACAACCCCGCACCATAATCCCGCCTCCACCGAACTATACACTTGGCACAATGCAGTCAGGCAAGTACCATTCTCCTGGCAACCACCAAACCCAGACACGTCCAAGACAGCAGCTAGCGGTTTACTGCGGCGTCTCAGTATATCGCGAGCTACAGCTCGCGGTATACTGAGCCTAGGGTGATGGGAGGACGCTAGTTTGTATCCTCCCGTTACTCTAAGGAGAACTATGGGGAAAAGCCTTAACCCCATAGTTCTCCTTTAAGGACCAGTCTCAGAGCCATTTTAACAGAGAAAGGAAAGTCCATTATTTCTTCAAAAGCAGAAACAAAGCTTATTTAACAATAACACAAGGGCCGCTTGTATTCCAGCAAACAGAACAGATCACATAATCTCACCGACTCCAGGTTGTCGCACATACGCCATAGCTTTCACACCTCTTGTGTGACTCTTACACACATCCCTTGTGTGTTACTAGCTCTCTTCCCTGTGCCTCTACAAGCACCTGCTCCCCTCTGACTTCTGGGTGGAGTCCTTATGACTCCTGAACACCTCTGTTCCTCTTCCCAGCTGGAGTCCAGAACATTAGCCAGCACCCTTTTCTATAAGGGCTGTGCACAGGTGTGCAATCATTAGGTGCTGGCCACTACTAAATGATGGACCCAGGAATGGAGTTTTAATTTCTCCCAATTCTCTTAGAAATCCCCCAGTTCCAGGATCCCAGGCCAAATCCAGAAAACCTGGGGAGAACTGTGAAGTCAACTCTTTCCCCGTACAAGAACTTGCTTCAAGGAAACGCTCAGCCCCTCTATATATATATATATGTTTAAAAAACAGTTAATCAGTGATAATATTACAGTATAGAGTAATAATATTTATTAGTCCTGCTGCAGGTGACTCTGATCTTCGCTCTTATGCAGAGTTAGACCAGTTGAAGTTTCTTTAGCATCCAACACGTTCATGTACGTGTCAAATGCCTGCACCCCCGGCTGCAGGCTTTCACCCACTAGCCACTACCTCACTAAAGCTCTCTAGGGGCACAGAGCTAATGCTGAGGCTGGGGGATAGAGCCACAGCCTGCAACATGGTAAGCAGGCATCCAACACACCCAGAAATGTTGGATGTGGAAGATTCTTTGGCCCATATAACTCTGCTAAAGAATGAAAATCAGCGGCGGCAGGATTGGTAAGCATTTTTGTTCTTGTTGCACAGACTGGTTGCTCTTTATAATGTTATATTAGGGACAGATTTATTTTAAGGGCCCATACACAACAGGCCATTGTGGTAACGCATATTACATGTGTTGGTGCATTGTGGTGCCATTCATAGTAAACAAAAAAAAAACAACAAAGAAAACAAATTATTTTCCATGTATGTAGGTATGCTGCAGCTCGTTTATGTGGTGTAAACGGGCCCTAAGATATGAGTGGGGACTGGGCAAATATCACTCTAGTAAACCTTTGAGCTTTTCTTCTGTCACAGCTCTACTACTATTTTATGAATTGCTTGTAGGTCTGAAGAAACTAGTTAAACATTATAGAGTATGTTTTTTTTTATAAACTAGACAAACATATAGTAGTCTGTAGTCTTCCCAGGCACTGGAGAGATATTCATCCTCACAATCCCACAAGTCTTTTGGAGGACCCAATGTCCATAATTAAAAGGCAAACACCCTTTTGCCTTTTAATTATAAAACAGCCCTGAACATAGTGGTTATGGCTGCCAAAATCCCAAGAATTATATCTTTCTGCCATGCTGTGTATTAGGAAGGTAGCTGAAGAGTCCCTGGATGGGGCTCCCAAAGAGTTTTAAGATGTAGGCCTTTCAAATTGCAATACTTTATTAAAAAGGTGTGAACAATATCATGGAAATTACAGTGATCATGGAAATCACAGTAACAACACATGGGGAAACAATGGAGTAAAGAAGTAGTACCATAGTTAAGGGCCTCTGGTGCTGTCCATTTCACTGGAATCTGCTTCATCCCCCCAGTGGATGAATACACTCCGTCAACCTCCTCTCTTGACATGCCAAAGTCGCTTATCTTGATAACATTTTTCTCAGTCACAAGACAGTTACGTGCAGCAAGATCTCTGTCAGAAAATAAAAGACAGACATTGTCATTTTATTGCACAGATATGAAATATTTTACATATGCACTGACCGACATTTTCCCAATCGTGCCAATTCAAATGGAGTCTCTCAAAATTTTAACTTATCTAAAACATATGTCAATGAAAAGTATGTTATGTGTTCTGGTGTGAGGAAGGACAATTTTTTTTCCTGACCCAAATATATACAAAAAGTCAAAACCTCAAAACTGATCCCTTTTCACCATATAAAGGTGAACCTTTAAGGCCTGGTTCACATATGGGCGATTTACAGCGCATTGCTACGCTCTGTAAAACGCTCAACATGTGAAAACCAATGATTGCCTATGGGCATGGTACCCACCTGGGCGTTTTACAGCGCGTAGGAACTCGCTGCAAATTGCCCTACACCCAAAGAAGTACAGGAGCTTCTTTGGGGCGTATTTGGCGTGCGCATCCATTGGGATACAGCCAGGTAGCCCTTGGAAACGTGCATTTGTCGCACGTTTTTTTAACCGCGAATCAACGTTAAAACGCGCAGCACAAAACGCACGGCAAACATATTTGATACGCCTAGGTGTGAACCCAGCCTGTGTTTGCACTGATAGATAATGTCATCTGAGTCAGTTTAAATAGTTACAGCATGTCCAGCACTGACAAGACAAAGACTGCAGGTGGTGTGCCCATCTTCTATGACCACTGAGGAGTGCTCTGACACTATGGCTACCCTAACATATACTCAGTGGCCACAGCATGCAGACATGGTCATGAGGTTCAGTTATTCTTCAAACAATCATATGTGTGGTAATCAGCTTTGACTGTGTTAGTATATATAGATATGGTGGTTGCAGCATCCAGGAAACTTCTAATCTCCTGGGATTTTTACAGATTACCATCTCTAGAGTTTACAGAAACCGGTGAAAACAAAAACAGCATCCAGTGAAAGTCAGTTGGGTGAAAACATATTTAGGGGACACCTTATAGTTGACAGGTCCACAATTTCTCCAATTATTATTGAATTCAATGAAAATAAAAAGTCTTTAGAAAAACATTCCGAGCACATTGCTGAGGTGCTACAAATCACTTAAACTGCTCTAAAGGCAAACTAGAGGGTCCTTCCTAGATCATCATCTTCAATATATTCAGTAAAAACTATCTTAGCAATGTCCTCAAATATTTTTCAAGGCTCTTTCACTTAAACCCCTCTTAAATGATGGCACTAAAATCTTTATGAATACTTCTAATGAACTCAAAACAATAGCAATGAGGTTATACAACAGGAATGATGCCGTGGGCCAAAGGAAGGGTTAAGGCAGGTGAAGCACTTGTGGATGATTTGTCAGCCCACCTCACCAGGATGGGCAGGTTTCTAAATGATGTCATATTGCTCTTGGCTCATAGTTTCTATATTAGTTACGTGAGCCAAAGTATACAGAGATTATTGAGGTATGTTTTGGGTTTCTTCAAATACTAGGTTAATTGTGATTACAGACTTCACCTGAGCACCACTACTAAGATCACTATCTATCTATCTATCTATCTATCTATCTATCTATCTAAAGCTGGACATGCAAAGCAGTAAATCTGATACTCACCAGACATTCACTGAGGGTGAATATTTCCAATGCATGTGTTTTAAATGTCAGTGATTGATTCACGATCCAGGAATGTTTGGTGAAATTCACATTAACTGATTTACATATACTGTACACCTCACACTGTCACATTTAGATTCTCATTTGATCTGCCAGATCAGCAAAATGTACCAATACACCTACAGTATGTAGTAAGTGCCTGCTAAAACAATCCATTCAGCTTATATTCACTCAGCTGCTCAAATGATATAATTTTTGGTAAAAAATTGATAGACCAAATCTGCAACACGATTTGACAGTATGTGTTGGCTAAAAGTGTAGCAGTGGCTGGGCTCTGAATATTTAAATATTTACGTGTTCTTAACAAGTTGTAAATCAGGTTCACAACAAGTTTCACTGACCTGTAGATGCCGACACTGTGGAGCAATTAATCCTCAAAGTTCACAGAAAAGCACATTCTCTCAGCAGTTCCCAACTCCTAGTGATGTGATATTTGGTAGCCTTCCAGCCTTCTGATCTCTAATGATAAAGAGGAACTAGATCCACCAATTTAATGGTTTTCCAAAACAGTTACTTTTAAGGCATGCCATCTGTCAAGGTTGCCAGTCTGCTTATTTCAGCACTCAGCCGAACATTCAAACCCTAAAATGGCTGATGTTATAGCTGATCACATGTGCGGCACCATGGCATCTGCAATCCGACTAGTGTCTAAAACGACACCTTTCTTGGCTGTAAGGGATAGGAGCATGTAGTTTCGCTTTACCACAGTCAAGTAGTCTGAGAGGTTGCAGTAGGATGAGCTGCCCAAAAGAATGACTTGTGATTCCGCTGTGAACTTTGGATGAATTGCTCCACAGTACTTGCAGCTAGAGGGCAGAGAAAGAACTGGTTTTAGGGCCGGTTCACATGACTTCCAGTGTGTTCCAGCACAGTTAGCTGCTGGAACGCACTGGATTGCAGTAGAAAATCCTCCCTGTGGCACATCAATGACTGCGTTCCGGTCCAGTGCGATCACAAACAATAGTACAAGCACTGTTCCTGCTACAGTCAAAGTTCTTTAAACAGGAATCCCTAGTTGCACCTAAAGATATGGGTGTGAACGGGGCCCATTTGGGCTTTGGGCTCTCTTTAGAAGAACTGAGCAGTGAGGAAAAGGACAGTAGGTCAGTGGCCTCAAATAACCTTTTATTGGATAAGAGCATTATCCACTTTGGGGTGGCCACAAAGGAAATCCCAGCTTGTGCTAGGAGATGGATCAAATTATGTGACCATAGTCTACTGCAGGAGTAGGTAAACTTCAGCCCTCCAGCTGTGAAGAAAATACAAATCCTCTAATGCATCTGCCTCTGGGAGTCATGCCTATTGCTGTCAGAATATTGCAATGCCTTATGGGACTTGTAGTTCCACAACAGCTGGAGGGCTGAAGTTTTCCTGGTTCTACTGCATAGAGGGTGAAAGATGAAAAGTACAGAAAATCTCTTTATGCCTGTGCAGGGATTGTTTCATAGAAATAGATATGTGTAAACCTGGAGCGATGTGGTAGGTAGTGGCAACCACTGGGCATTACCTGCCAACTTAAATAATTTTTCCTTTTAAAAATAAAATAAAATTGTAAGGCTTTTTATCAGCTTCTTGCATATCCTATATGAATCTCTCATTAAATGTCATTTATTTTGCTCTTTATTGTATATTTGTATAGCTTCTCTACTTTCCAAAAGAAATGTACTGTATATGGGAAGGTTATCATACAGTTAAATTAAAGCAACCTTCATATTAGTCATAGTTGGGTTATATTTGCATTCACAAATGGAACAAAATTTGCAGATTTGCAGCTGCTTTCTCATTTTTCTTGTAATTTTCTATTCTTTCATGCAATTAAAAACTTGTCTCTCTCCCCCAGGTTTAAAAATGTCACCCAAGGAAGAGTGCAGAAAGAGAAAGTGCTTTATATTTGCATGAAGTAATGACAAACCTAGAGGCTGTGACCCATTCTTACAAATACCAAGTCTGGGTTTGTGAGATACCAAAGCAATATTCCTCCTGGCCAGTACCTGTGAATACAATGTTTACTCTCCAAGTATTCCATCCCAGCAGCGGCATTTTCTGACATCCTGATAAGCTCCTTCATCTTCAGTCTGTTTCCTTCATTCCGCAAAAATGTTAGGAAATCGCCACCTACAGGAAAACATAATGACTACATCTGTCTGCTGTGTGAAGCCATTCACTGCATTCTAAGAAATATTTTGCTTCCAAAATGACATGTTATATATATTATCATGTTTATGCCACCCCAAAACCTGACATTCTTTAAACAATTCTAATTGATCTTTTATATAAGGCGGTCTGTATATGAAAGGGAAATGCCAAGTAAATTGAAGAAAGTGTGGCTGATGGCTGCAGTATATACAAAGTACACATATTTCTGTGTCCAGACCTCTGGTCTTGCATTGCTCTGGTTGTAGGAGATTTTTTACCCCAGACTATTATTTGACCAATAAACGGTATGGGAAACACTAGAATGTACTGAACATTAACAGTGCAGAGCCTTCCAAACAGCTGATCTTAAGGCTAGGGACGCAGGGTGGATCTAGTTTACAAATTCGAACCCTATTCACAGAACTCTCCAAAAAAAATGACTTTTGTTTTTACTGCATTAAGAGCAATTAAAAGCAACACGTGGAACCAATCAATATTAATGCTCACTCATAAGCACTTTGTGGTGACTGTAGAAAGTTCTATCAATTTATCTTAATCTAAGCTGTGTACCATTCACCATGCCAAAATCCAGAGAGCACCTCACAAGTTTACTAGATATATTTTTCCTGA